ACCTTTTCAATTTTTCCCATATGACATTCAAAAATGTGTCTCTTCATTGTTTTAACTGGCATCTCTTCATATGTTTGTGTTCATTTGTAGCCCTTTTGTGGATCATCTGGTCTACCCTTTCCTCATCTTTTTTTTTTTTTTTGGTCGGGTTGCTTTTTTAAAACTAAAGGAACACTTTATGATATATGGATTTTAATTCTTTGTTACATATATTGCAAATATTTCCTCTGTCATTTGTCTTTTAACTATACTTATTTTGTATTTTGCCATGCAAAAAATGTTTGGTTTTTACAAGTTGTATCGCTAAAATCCTATCCTTTATGGCTTCTTGAACATGTGTCTTATTTAGGAAGGCCTTCTTCTCCTGAGTTATACAGATACTTTTCTAAGTTTTCTTCTAATATTATTATTGTTTTGTTTTTATGTTTAGCTCTTTAATCCATCTGGAAATGATTTTTGTATATGGTGTGAGGTAGGTATCTAAGTGTACTTTTCAAATGAATAGTTTCATTGTCCCAACACTGATTACTAACCCATCATTTCATATATTAAATTCTGATATTATACATGGGTCTGCCTCTGGACTCTATTTTGTTCCATTGATCAATGAAATTTGTCTATATCTATGCCAATAACACAGTGTGCTCATTCCTGTAGTTTGATAATATGTTTTACAATCTGATAGAGTAAATCTCCCGTTATTCTATTTCAAATATATCTTTGTTTTTATCAAGTATTTATTCCTCTAGACAAATTTTGGTATCATCCTGTCAATTTCCATACATCATTCCATTGGGGTTTTCGTTTAGATTGTGTTGAATTTGCAGACTAATTTGAGGGAGGAATGAGAGATTTATGACATCAAGTCTTCCTATTCAAGGAAATGACATATCTTTCCATATATTAAGATCTTCTTTTATGTTTTCAATACTTTTCTTTAACTAGAACTTGTACATTTTCTGCTAAGGTTTATGCCTGGGAGTTATAATGTTTTTGTTGCTATTATACAAACAATCTTATTTTCCATTGAATTTGTTACTACTGGTATATAGGGATAGTTTGATTTTTGTAGGTTTATTTTATATCTGGGTGACTTATTAAATTTTATAATGATTCTAATTGCTTTTTAGTTAAATACCTTGAATAAGTCTTAATCATATGCATGCAATGGTTTTTGACTCTTCCTTTTCAATGTTTCTACCTTGTTTTTATTTTTGCTTTATTGCATTGGCTAGGACCATCTCAATGGTATTGTGTAAAATCAGTGATAGAAGACACTTTTCTGTGCTTCTAAAGTTTTATTAGCACGTATAATAGTCAGTGTCTTAGATAAAGGAAGTTACCTTCTATTACTAATGAATTTGGGCATTTAATCAGGAAAATGTGTTGGAAAATTTTGGCATCTTTTGAAAGGATGGATTTTCTTCTACCACTTTAGTGAATTAAACACTAGATTTCTTAAGGCTGAGGCATTCTTGCATTTCTATTATAAATCTTATTGAGTTATAATATGGAGTTCTTGTAATATCTTGCTGATTGAATATAATAATATTTTATTCATTAATGTTATGAATATAACAGATAATTTTACACATATATAGATAAAATATCTATAGCTGTACTCATGTATTTAAGGCTATATGATATGTTTGACTGATTTTATCATCAGAAGTATTTAAATCACAGAAAGTCAATTGGGAAAGTTTCTAACTTTTTTATTTTTTATTTTTTGCTTTGGGAAAGTATAAATAGAGTAAAACATTTTAGTAGAACTTACTCCCAAAAATCATCTGGAGCTTGTACTTTTTTAATGTATAGAATTTTTACTATAATTGTAATTGTTTTTCTGTGTTTGAATTTTCTACTTCTCTCTTTTTTTCATTAATTTTTTCTAGTAAATCAGTTATGACATCTTTATTTTCAAATTTCTTGTTGTAATATTTTTAACATTTTACATTTGTCTCCTCTATGTCTTTTATTAACCTTGCCACAGGGTTATATTACTTTTAAAGAACTACCAATTAATTGTGTAGATAAGTCTCCTTTTAAATTTTTTTCCCTTTTGGTTGGTTGTTTTGCTTTGCTTTCTTTTATACCAATTCCTCATTTTATCTTTATTATTTATTTCCTCTTTCTTTCTATTGTCATGTAGGTCTTTACTACCTTTGTTGTTGAATCATATTTTAATTTATTAACTATTTTAAAAATAAGTCCTTACATGTTATAATTTAAAAAATTACTTTAGCTATATTTCATAGGTTTCAATAAATACAAATTTAATTATCATAATTAATAGTTTTAAATTTAATTTTCAATTATTCCTTTACCAAATAGTTTTTTAATTGCCCAAAGGGAAACTTTTAAAAAAATTATTCTTTTGTTGTGAACTTCTATTTGGCACAGAAAATGTTTCTCATTTTTATTTTATGTTTACTGTGGTTTTTATCTTGGCATTTCAGCTTTCCTTTGAGGTATTATATGTGATTGGTTTTATAAATTGTTTCAGAGAATTGAAAATAATTTTCAACTTTTTAGGGAGGCTGAAAGACACACAATTGCAATACTCATATCTATCAATTAAAACTCATTATATTTTTAAAATGTATCTTCATTTATCTTGTCTTCTTGACCTGTCCGTTTGTGAAAGAAGTATTTTGGTTTTCCATTATAATGGTGGTTTTGTCAGTTTCCTTTGGTTTATATCCTGTTTTTAGTCTTTGTATTTTTGTTGCTATATTAGTTGGAGCCTAATAATTCATAATTATCATAATGCTGAATTTTGCCATCTTGAAATATGATTTAAATTACTTTTTCTCCTTTTAATTCTTGGCATTCTAAATTTTTTCCACATGTTTTTAATTGTCAGCATTTTATGTATTCGATATTATACATTTAAATCATATATTGTGTATATCAAATATACATATTTAATATATATTCGTTTTTCCTTTTATTGTATTTTTGCATTCTTTCATTTTTAATATTTTCTGCTCTTCTACACATGTCTTTTCTAAATAACACACATCTTGATTTTTAACATAAATTTTCTCTTATTTAAGAGGCAGTATAACCCATTTGTATATAGTGTCTATATAATATACAAATTATTACAAAAATATTATTATTGTCTTTGTATAAAAGACATAAATTATAGTACAAAGATATTATTTAAACTTCTTTTTCATAGTGTGCCTTCATCATCTTTAACCCATTCCTCTTTTTTGTCATCTTTTTGGTACTGGTTAGAGATTTTTGCTTTTCTTTTCTAAAAACTGGTTTGGAAGCTATATGTACTATTTCTATTCTTCTAGGAGGCACTTAAAAATTTTAGCAAGCAAATTTAAATTGAAACTCTTGTAATCAAAAGTTGATGACTGTTTGTAAATTTGATTTCCCTCCCTAAAAGACAAAGCCTTTGCCAGGCTTTTAATGATTTCTCTTCCTATTCTTCTATGTACTTATGGCTGAAATTATCTGAAGGTTTCATTCCAGAGAAGTAGTGTTAATAATAGCAGTCATACTCTTAGCATTATTAGTATTATTATTTACTTTACGTCTCTATTTTACAAGAAGACTTTATTAGTAATTGTATTACATTTTACTACCAAATTAGCAACCGCCATTTAGATTTAAATTGAGTTTTTGTGACTTATACACTCTACTTTATTTGTTATGTTCCCAGTCATTGTCTATTTTAGATTCTTTTTTTCTGTTTCTCTGGAGCAATCCTCAATTAATTTTTGCTCCTTTATTTTCTGAAAAGCTATGAGTGGTCAACTTTCTGAGTCTTTGCTTGTCTGAAAGAAACCTCTTCATTTGTCTTTACACATGACACAGAGCTGTCTTGATTATAAAAGTCCCAGGTTGAAAACAGCTTCCATACATCCTTATCATCATTTATCTTCTAAAATATTTCAAGTGGATAAGGCAAATATCATTTTCCTTTTTAGAAATAAGATTGCCCATTTTCCAATAAGTCATTCTTAAGTGTTCATTATCCTTATCCCTTCCAACTGACCCACCATAGAGAACTTCTAATTAATAGTTTATCAGGGCATTTATAGAGAGCTGTTTCTATCAATGGCAAGCACTTTTCTAACAACAAAATTCTATGTATGAGCCAGAAGTTCCCATTTCTGATGTTCTATTTGCTAATGATGCAGTGAGTTCCTGAGTTTTAAAACATGCTGTGAATTTTCTTCCACTTATGCTAATACCTCTAGCCTGCTGGGCCGTGAGGATTTCCCTAATGTTTTCTCAGGAAAGGGTACCCTGAATGTCAGTCACTTCCTCTCATCCTTGACTGTCAGATCTGTAGACCCACAGATGGGTCTCCGTAGGCTATTTTAAAAGAGACTTTTCTCACTGGCCTTTGAGATGTTACTAAGAACTGTCATAAATTCTCTTTCGGTCCACCTGATTTCTTATGAGCCTGTGGTCTTCCATACATTTGGAACTTCCCTGTTCCCTTCACTTGAAACACTGAGACATAAGTTACAGTGAGAAATTCAGGATTGTCAGATAGAAGGTAAAGTCATGGTTCTACAGATTAGATGCACTTGGATAATACTGTGCTTTAACCACCTGGGCCAAGGAGTCCAACCTGGTGTCTGAAAATACTCAGGTACTTGATGGCCTCCCTCATTGATTCTGCTGACTCCCCTCTGGACCTCCTTTCAAGGCTAGGTTCATGTACTACCAGATTCTAAAACCTCTCCCACCCCAAATCATCTTGCGATCTTTCTTGTACTCCATGCCAAGGAACCCACCTTCCCTTAGGGATTATCTCTCATTGCTACTCTAGCTGCCTCCAGTATTGTAGATCGTGGATGTCAGTACCTCCACTGAGACTCTGACACCATTTGCATCAAGTTCAGGTTGTGGCTATCATAGAATAAGAGGCATCGAGTGCGCATCTACTTACGAAGAGTGCAGACAGGCAATGACCGGTTCTGGCCATCTGGTCACTCTGTGTGTGCCTCTGTCTTGATCCTTTTTAGGTGGGAGGACACACCATGCTCCCCATCCGTTGGATGCCCCCTGAAAGCATCATGTACCGGAAGTTCACTACAGAGAGTGACGTGTGGAGCTTTGGGGTGATCCTTTGGGAGATCTTCACCTATGGAAAGCAACCGTGGTTCCAGCTCTCAAACACAGAGGTACAGAAAGGGGGTAGAGGGGAACCTCCATTTGGGGGAAGGCTGATAGGAGTTATCTCGGGCCAGGATTTAGACCTAGTATACAAAACATGAGGCGGTGTTTGGAGCTAGCAGGGCAAATATAGGTATAAGCAAAAGAGGAGAGCTTCTTAGTAGGAAAAACATTAGAGCTGTAGGAAGTGTGGTGTAATTGTCAAGAGAGCATGAAATCAGATGTCTAAATGGAGATGCGAGTCCCAGTCCTGTTTATGCTGCGACACTTAAAAATCACAAACGTCTCTCTAAGACGGAACATGAAAACAAAGAACAACTCTGAGTTTTTCAATTGTGCCATCTTGTGGAAACACCCAAAGAGTCTGGATTCCCAAAGGTTTTAGGCCTGCCAGGCCTGGGATGGGCAGAGGATGGTGGATGGGGAAGGCACATTTCACATTATTGATAGAGCTGTGTGTGGACCTCTAGGAATAAAAGCGCTCATCAGAGAAAACATCATCATAATTAACACATTAAATGCTTTTATAATTTTGATTTATAATAATAATAAAAATTCCAGCAATCAAATTTTCACAATAGCTAACATTTAGTGCCAGGTACTTTTCTAAGGACTTTAGCTGTATTAACTCAGTACTTTCCACACGAATACCTGTTGAGATTCAGGGCAAAGGGAAGGGAACTGCTTGGAGTTCTGGAGAGGACTGGCCAGAGACTCAGATGGGAGCTTCTGCAGCATGGAGAAGGCATGGGCCATGGCCACAGGACTCCTGCCTCCAAAGCCAGTCAGGATGGTTCTCATTTATGTCTGACCAGACTCATGTTGCCCTGGAGAATAGTTAATAGACAGTAACGGTCTTGGATTCCCAACCAAGCAGACGTATAAGAGATTGCAGTTTATTTTTATGGTCTGTTTTCTATGAAAACATGAACACAAGGGCCTTTTAATATTGCAATCTTATCTGAATATTTGAGAAAGTCTTTGTCTTTGAGAACTGTATTCCTTTTTGCTTTCCTGTTCCCTAACCGGTGAGTTTCAGAGACCAAAAAGAAGACACTTCTTTAAATCTGTAGTACCTCATCAATCACAAGCTGAATGAGTCTTGACCACATTTCCCAAAGTAGGACAAAACATTTTAATGACCTTAAAAAAAAAGAGTGTATATCAGAACCCGTTTGTTGCAGTGTTTTAGCTGTTTTCTTGGGGTTGTGGGATTGGTAGTAAACACACACATACATACACGCAAGCGTGCTCGCACGTCCATGCATGCATGCGTATACCTACCCGCGTACATGCACGTACATACTCCTGCACAAACATGTGTGCACGTGAGTATACGCAGCCCGAGCACAGCCTCCCATGTAGTTTCGTGGCCCCAGTGAAGAGGGGATGTGCGTGGAGGGTGCTTGTGGTATCAGGAGTAGATTTGCCCTGGAGACCCAAGCCAGCTCATGGTAGCCAACAAGGTGTTTCTAATCATTTCTAACACAGTTTGGTGAGGCCTGGAAGGTGGGCTTTCTGCCCCCAGCCACCTGTCCCACTCCACAGTCCAGAGCAGCCAAGTACTGTTAGCCACTGATCATGGGTTTCTTTATGGAGGTTGACAACCCAGTGAGCCCACACTGGAGGAGACACTAGCGAGTGCTTTTGATCGTAGCATTAACAGCTGCTGCAGTTTGAGCCGGGTCCCTTTTCGTGGAGGTGAAGGTAATGGAGTGGGGAAACAGGGCTCTAATAACGGAGAACCTGAGTAGCTGGAGACCAATTGGGCTGGCACAGAAACAAGCCTCTTGGACCACCACTGACGCCGGAGTGAATCGGACCAGGAAAGTGCTGACACATCGGGCAGGGGCTTGACACGCTGTCCTTGGGTCAGAGTGACATGAGACAACACCCCAGACAGGGCGCTGTTGGGGGCAGCATGAGGAGATAAAGGAGACAAAAGGCACTTCTCTTGCCCAACTAAACACAGACTCATGGGGGCAAAGATACTGGAGGCACTCAATTGGACCTGAGTCCGTGTATTTTCTCATTACAACCCATCTCTGAACGAGGAAGCTGGAGTTTGGGGTAAGTTGCCCAAGGTTTCATAGTGATCGAGTTAGGGAGACATTAAAAACCAGTCCAAGACCAGGAAGATGAAAACGTGAAAAGTCACATGTTCAATGTCAGCAAAGAAGTGCCTTTGAGAAATTGGAAATGAACCACAGGTTACAGGCTTGGTCCTTACATGGCCAGCTGGGGTTGGTCCAGCCCTACATTATTTGTTTTCTTCCTACTCCTCCTTAGGGCCTCCCCTGTGGTATGTCAGGCCATGCTTTGTGCCCTTGGCTTCATTTGGGCCTTATGACTATGCAGGAGGCACACATTGGATCCCCCTCTTCTAGATGAGGGTGCTGAGGTCAGGTTCACTGACTTGTGCTGGCCACAGAGCTGGGCGGCGGTGAATCGAGCAGTAATCCTGATGTGAAGGGCTTTAACAGAAGCCAAATACATGGGTTAGTGCAAAGAGCAGGGGAGGAGGGGCCTTGCTGAGAAAGGGAACCACATGGCAGCATAGAGGGAAGCTATGCACAGAGGCTGGGAGCTGGAGGGGAGCTGGCCAGGAGATGGGAGCTAAGGGGAGCGAGGCGTGGAGGGGCCAGATGGTGCAGAGTTCCTTCAAGGGCGTCTCAAAGTCACCCAGGCTCATAAGAGGGGAGGGACAGGTCAGATGCCAATCCCCACTGCCAAGTGGCAATGAATCGTGCGGCATCCAGATGAGATTCAGGACTAGAGAGGAGGAGTCAAGTAAAGGCTAGAGTGCATGGGGGAGTCCGTGAAGGCCTGGCCCAAGAGGTGGGTCACAAAGGGCAATGGTGGGCACGGCCAGCCGGCAGCCTGCCCAGGACAGATGAGAGACTCTGTGCTGTCTCCATCCAGCCTTTAGCCTGTGCAGGTGGGCACCCCAGCTCCGCACTGAAGCTCCTTCATGAAGTCGCCGCCTGCTGCTGGGTGGGAGCCCCAGGGCCCAGGGGGGCTTTGGATGTTAATGTCCTGGTTCTTCTCATTATTTTCAGGTCATCGAGTGCATCACCCAAGGTCGTGTGCTGGAGCGGCCCCGGGTCTGCCCCAAAGAGGTGTACGATGTCATGCTAGGGTGCTGGCAGAGGGAGCCCCAGCAGCGGCTCAACATCAAGGAGATCTACAAAGTCCTCCATGCTTTGGGGAAAGCCGCCCCCATCTACCTGGACATCCTCGGCTAGCGGTGGCTGGCAGTCACGGACGCATACTCTGTGGCTTCCCTCTCCTGGCCTCACATTGCCCCTCGTCCACCTCACACTCCTTTCTTCCATCCTGACTGAAGCGAACATCTTCATATAAACTCAAGTGCCTGCTACACATACAACACTGAAAAAAAAAAGTGAAAGAAAAAACCCTGTAAGGCAGTTTGGCGAATATATATATATACATATATATATTTATATATCTAACTATCTATCTATATCCACAGAGAGATACCTTCTCTAATACAGAGGGAAACTGCTGATACAGAAACCATAAGACTGTAACAACAACTCAGAAAAGCTTAAATCTTATGAACACAAATGGAAGTTCCCTTTGACTGAAGCTGGGGCCCGTGGATCTCCGGCTCCAGCTTTTCGGGGCCGAAGACCTTGATGACGCAGAGACGGTCTTCACGCTGGGACCGGAGGAGATGGGGTGGAGTGCGAATCAGCGCCGTGCAGGTGATGACCTGCACAGGTGTGCTACCCCTCCCCCGCCCCCAAGGTCTGCACAGGTGCGTGGGCTGACCTCGTCCACTGCACTCAGGAGGCAGCAGGAAGTAACACCGGCCCCGGGGGCCTCTGGAATGCCTCACGTCTCCACTGACTATTGCTCCACGCCTTCCCCCTTTCCTCCGCTTCAAGACAATTCTCCAATTTGTCCGTTCTAGAAAGTAGAGTCCTGATGCTTTTGGAAGTCAATGAGGGCGTCTACCACTAAACACTGGACAAACGACGTGACCCAAAACCATGGTGACAATGGACCACATCCGTCTTGGGTGTAAACCATGCTCAAGTTCCTTCCTCAGTTGGAAAAAGATGTGTCATCTATTCTCTGAACATCAAGAACTGGACGTTCTGGACTTAACCACAGAAGAAAAAGCTGAAATTTGAACCCTCCATGTCAAGGCACTGCCTCCCACCTTTTCCTCACTGGAAAGACTCCTTGGCCTCACCTCCCACATTCAGGCCTTTGGGGGAGTTTGGGGGCATAGCGAACACCCCCCATGTTGCCTGTGAATGTGGACGCAGCAGGGTTCCAATAGCAGGAGACTTCGTTCCTCGTAGGTCATTATAGGATGTGCCCCTCTGTGTCGTCTGTTTCTCATCCTGCCTGCCCTAGATCCTCAGCCCCGACCTTCTGGGCCTTTCGCACGTCCCAGGGAAACCTCACTGCCAAGGAAGGAAGCCAGGACTAGAGACGGTGTGGGGCAGTGCTTGTTTTGGAGAGCGAGGCCGTGGACTGGGCAGGAGCCAGCAGCGGAGAATCTATTTGGCACCTGCACTGGCCCCTTGGCATTCTCCTCACGTTTCCAGCCCCTGGAAGGATGGATGCATCTGCGTCTGAGCTTGCTGTGAACACTCAGGGGCTGAAAAATCGCTTTTGTGGGCTGGGGGTGGGGGAGGGGCCGAGGCTTCTCTGGGAGGCGTCCACGGTGGGGCCACAGCCGCAGGCTTGGCATCTTAATGAGGACGGAGCCCTAACCGGAGAGGGAGAATGAGGCTTCTGGGCTGGGGTCCTGGCCGCTGCTGTCGAGGCCCGTAATGGGCAGATCCCTGGGCCTCCCGGACACAGGACCACGAAATGCCCCTGGTTGCCTGGCCCCATGCAGCCCTCCTGCTGGAGAGAGGACAGGTCCCTCTCAGCTCACCCTAAGCACAGAGCTCCATAATGGACCGGCCTTTGCCCCCCGGGAGCCTCAGGGTGGGCAGGGGTTGGGGGGCTCTGGCCTGGGCCCTGCCCTACAGCGTGAGGGGCTGTGGGCGGCTTGAGCAGCCTGGTCAGCTGCAGCATGGGCATCCCTGTGGGGTTCAGGACTAAATCCTGTATTTGTGGTTTTGCTTCCTTTTTTTTTTTTTTTTTTTAAGACCAACAAATGTTTTTATTCAAATAGAAAAGAGCTGTGTTGGGACTGCCAGCCTCGGTTGGGAATCGGGGATCAGTGAGGCCACTCAGCTGGGCCGGGAGGGGAGCCGGAGTTTGGTGTGGGTTTGGCCCTGTGCTGGCCTCCCAACCCTGAGGATTGTCGAGGAGAGCTCGGTGGATTGACCACATTAGAGGAACCCTTTGCTGTCCTATGGCCGTTATCCCGCCTGTCTTTCTGCCTCGAGGCCCTGGATCTCTTCTGGGCCTGTTCTTGCAGGATGAGCTATGGACCCAGTCTAGTGTTGAGCAGGGTAACGGAGGGAAAGCTGTCCATGGAGGGAGGGCCTTGAGGGGGAAGGGCCTTCTGGTTAGATGTGAGGCTCCAAGGCTCTTGTTGCTGCCAAAACAGATGCCGGAGAGTCTCCCCAACACAGACCCTGTGTAGCTTCCATCTCACAGGCTGTGTTTCTACGTCACGGTCACTGATAGGCTGGGAAGACGGGGTCATGGGAAGGGGTTGGAAGCTGGGGGGCAGCTGGGAATGAGGAACAGGCTAGGCTTTCAACGCAGGGCGCTAAGGCATCCCAGCCTAAGGGGAGAAGCTAGTTCCTTCGGGAATAAGGAGCCGTGAAGGAGACCGAAGTCAGACTGCACAGGCCCTCCCTCGTGCTGGCCGTGGGGACGCGTCTTGGTCACGTCCACCGTAAGTGGCTGCCTCTCTGAAGAGTAGAGGAACGAAGGGCGGCTGAGCAAGGGGGAGTAGAGAGGGATCACCGGCTTTCTTCCTCCCTGGTTGTGCTCTCTGCAGAGTCTACGTGTAGACTTTAGGTCAAGGTGGGTAAAGGAATAAAAAGGTTTTTGGAGGGTGAGGGAGGCAGAGAGGAGGAGCACCCCAGGGCCCTGGGGGCAAGCAGGGGATGTTATTCCTCCTGTGGTGGGAAGCGGCGTCTCAGTCTCCGGTCTGAGAAACGAGAGATGCCTGCTCATCTCTGGCCACTTCAGGGTCTGATATGTTTCGATTCTCCCAGCGCGGACTCACTGTGCTGTGTGGTTCTCCGTAGCGCCCTGGGAGGCCAGGGGGCCCCTCCTCAGGGCAGCTGCCCCTGGGGGCACGTGGGTCTGTGCACGTGTGGGTCCCGTGGGACATTCCTCTCCTTCTTGGTTCCTGCGTCACCGTGTGACGTGTCTGAGGTGACTTTCGGCCCACAGGGCGCATTTGGTCTTGTTTCCCATCCCCAGCCTCTTTGCACACCCAGGAAGTGCTGGCCAAGGCCTGTTTATCTATTTATTTTCGAAGAGCTTAATGTGGTTAAATGAGTCTTAAAATGACATCCCATCAGCCAGTGTGGCCACCTCAGTCCACCCCCCTCTCACCCCTCCCCGCCAAAATTCACAGTTTAAAAAAACATGCTAAAGCAGCTCTCAGGGTGTGGCTGGATGCAGATGCCCCCCCTACCCCCACCCCGGTGAACTTTGCTGGGAGCTCCAGGTCACCCAGACTGACCTCCCGGCCATGTCATCCTCACCTGATCCCCTCCTGGACCGAGTGACAGTGGCCTGCTTGTGGAGGTCACTTGGAGTAGAGAGGCATGGCCAAAGGTCTTCCCCGTTCTTGACTTTGGACATGAACCAGATGCTGCCCTCTTATCATATCCCTGGCCCCTGAGTGAGGTCTTGAGACTCAGTATGCCTTCTCTTGCTAACAGATGAGGACTTGTGTTCCTTCACTCAGCAGATCATGCACAGATGCAGATCATGCAGATCATGCACAGAGGCTTCCCACTGGAGGCAAAGGAGGCTTGGTCCTCCTGGTTGAACCTTACCATTCTTCTCTAGTGATGCTTACTTTGTGGAATATACTAGTGCAAATATTTTTGGTGCTAAATACTACAGAAATCAACACTAACGGGAGAGCTGACAGCCAGCTTCTGGGGCTGCATGAGACTCCACTGGAAAGTGTCCCTACATGCTGGGACAGTAGAGGATGCCTGGGAGCTGGGGTGGGAGCATGCAGTGGTGTGGAAAGCCGGTTGGGCTTTGCTTTTGGTTACCCAGGTACCTTGGCCAGGTCCCCGAATCAGAGTATCAGATTTCTCATCTGAGACATTTAAGAGGTTAGAATAAATATCCTTAGGGTCCCTCTCAGTTTAAAAAAAAAAAAGTGTGTTCTGGTCCCACCTTTTTGTTTTCTTTTGTTTACTTGCTTATTAGAAATAAGAGAAAATGAAAGGCAGGTAAAGAAGGGGAGGAGGGAAAGTCACCGAGGGCAAGAAATTGATTATAGAAGGCAAACAGGGAAGACTCCATGACTGTTAGGTTGGAGGGAGGTTGGTGGGGGGAGCCAGGCCCACCAGTTCTCCAGCCGCGGCCCGGCCCCCGAGGCTGACTTCCACAGGCTCTCCTCCTCAGCTTGCTAGCTTCTCCATTTAACACTGACATGCCCTAAGCTGGCAGAAAGGATCCCAAGATAGGGAGACAGGCCCGCCCCGCTCTCGTGCAGACTGCTGGCAGTCTGATTTCAAAACCCGACAGATGTTTATCCTCACGTGCTATTTCATGGGATAGGAATTTGGAAAGAGGGCAGCATTTTAAGTTGTGGATTCTTCACCAAAGTCCTTTTCCCTTCTGGAATGCCGAATGGTGTCCTTGCTCCTCTTTCCCAAACCAAACAGCAGCAATATTATTCATCAGAGGTGTGGTTATCGAAGAGGGCAGTCTTGGGCTTTGGGATCACCCGTGTGCTTCACTTAGAGTCTGGAGCAAAGAAACATCTATAGTTCATGGTTGAATGAGCCCCTGTGCCCACGGTCTAGAGGACTGCCCTCAAATGCCCCTGGGTTTGGCTGTTGGCAGCTCTGCTGGAGCCGACCGGCTAGAATATTGGATGGCATTTGCCTTACAGCAAGCCCTTCAGTCCAGGGCTTGGTGCTGTAGCCACATTGTTTTTGGTCCCTGGTGTGCCAGACTTTCCTCTGATACCAAATAAAATGTTTTGGCCAACACTTACTAGGTTTTAAAGGGAAATTCCAAGTCCTTGTATCATTTTTAAGGTATCAATATAGACTCCAGAAAATGCTTTGGGATTGCTGAACGGTCCTGGTAGCATCATCTGAGGGGAAGTGTAGGCCCCTATATATTGTATGCTTGTATCTATATCTTTAATTGGACTGGCTTTGTTGAAAGTCTGCTTGGAGTCAGCAAACGGATTCCTTGATGCTCGGTCTCTTTGAGCCTTACATTCCTCGGGGATGAGATATCCAGAGATGGCCTGGCCTAAGAGAGCCCGTCAGAGAGATGCTATTGGGAAATATGTCATCTTGTAAAATTTGATTGTTGGGTGCTCCCTGAATTAAATTATGCTGGTGACAACATTCTGGGCATCTGAAAATCTCTCCTCCTAGCAGTCTGATAGATGGCCATGCAGGAATGATTTCTACCACACCCCGTTTGGGGGTCGGCATTGAATTCACCTGGATTGCAGGTACAACCACCCCCTAGGACGGATGGGACAGAGAGAATGTGAGATGTTGGTAATGCTCTTTTGGAAAGGTGACTGTGGTGGATGTGGTGAACATTTGTGTCACTCTTTGGGGGGTTAGGCCTTTTGCTGTGAGCATAGGCTGTCCCACCCTAAGGATCTGAATCTTGACTTCTGATAGAGTCTCTGTTTCCCTGGTGAAATCTCCTCAAGCATAGTTTCTTTAACTGCCCTCCAAAATTCTATACTTTGCAACAAGAGACATCTCTGGCCCAAGTCTTGGCATGCCAACACAGTTTCCGATTTCACAAGGAGATCCATGAAGATTGAGGGTCCCCTCAAAATACTTGGAATTCTTGATCAGAGTAGTAAAATTCAGATTCTCCTTCCTCGTTAGCTAACTAAGTTCCAAATTTAAAACAAGGTCCGGTTTGATATTTGCAGTAGGGATGATGTCTTAACCCAGTGTGTTGAGCTATTTCCTGTCATACAGAGGCAGGACAGTAAGCTCTGTTAATTTTTTCTAATCACCAAGGTAATCATCACTTTGTGTGCAGTGCCATGGCCCAAACTTGTAGCTTGCAAGAGATACTCATGGCCAACAAAGCTAGAAGTTTCTAGATGTAACAGGATAACACAGATGAGTCAAAGCCTACTCGGCATCTATTTCTGAGAAGTGCCTTGGCACTCAGGAGTCTTGCTTTTCAGCTTGACATATTTTGAGAAGAGTTGGTTTCTTCTCACTTTAGACGATGGCCAACTTAGACGTCCTTCCCCAAAGTCCAAAGGAAGATCGAAAGCCCAGATATCCAGCGTATTCTCTGACATTCTTTTGGATGCAGTTTCCCAAAAGCCCAACTGGAAATGTAAGTACTCAAGTCTAGGTCTGGTAGTTACTCCTTCACTTAAGAAGAGTATATACTCAAATGAATAGCTCCCTTCAATGTTGTGTTTCTTTCTCGGAGAACTCTCTATGCTCTATCTCCACTTAATAGCTATGTGACATTCAGCTGATGCCTCTGAGCCCACCTCTGGAGTGAATAAATAAACCTGGTCCAGGTGATTTGATTTCTGCTTTCTGCAGAAGTAAATCTCAGTCAAGAAGATTTTCTTTCACTTTTATGCTTTTTATGTTTTCTTTTTCTTTATTCCTTTTGGCTCTATCCACTTGCTTCCATAGGACTGACAATCCAGCTTCTCAAACTCTATAAGTCTTAATATGAGGTGAATTCCAGGACCACGAACAGTTAGGACTTCAAACAGAAAATTGGCACTGAATGATTTGGCACACAAAGCAGAAAACCTTCATTTCCTGCAGGCAGGATGGAATTGACTGTTATATTAAGACCTGTGAAGGAGCCCAGCCCTGGAGTAATTTTGGTGCTGTCAGACAACGTTGACATCTAGATTAACCTCTGAGCAGTGAAGTTTACTGCAAAGCTCATTGAGATGCAAGTGCTGTGTCTCCACAAATCCCATGGAACTCTCGGTGGCCCACCCTCAGCAAACCCCCATCCCTT